GATCCGTGGACAGAACTTTAAAACGGTGGCTGTGTTTAAAATACCGTAACTTTAAACGTACATGAGTGATTTGAATGATTCTTGTACTAAAATAACGGTGCATGACTGCTCTATGTTCCGACACCCCTATGTTCCGACAACCTAGATTGTGTTACTCCCGGTTAGGGTTAGGGTTAGGGTTAGGGTTAGGAATAGGAATATGTGCAGTCGGAAGATAGGGGTGTCGGAACATAGAGGTGTAACCAAAATAACGCTATGAATTGGGCTTTTATATCCAAGATTTAGAAAGTGCTAAATGCAGAACTTCAATAAAACAATAGTCCCGACATTTGGGTTTCTCTTTTTTGACTCTCCCTGTATAGTGAAAATGTGGGCGTTGCTGTGCACTCTGCGTAGGCCTATAGAATGCTTCGAAATCAACAACCTTCCTTTAATTCAATCACTCTCAAACTTTCTACAGTCTATCTTTCAATCCTCGGTCAATTTTTCCTGTAAAGTTTTCAACACTGAACAATTTCAAATTGCAGGAGCGTTACATGTAAAAATGGTATTCATTCTCGGGCCGCGCAGGCACAACACGAGCCCTGGAAGAATGGAAATGTTTCAACGCCTCCCGTTTCGAGATGAGTGTGCGGTAATCTTCAGCAATTCCAATCATTAAGATATTCGCGGCTGGGCCGGTGAAATGTTGGGTGTCTTTTGGTCTATAGGAGGCCAAGTCACGCGAACGCCGTGATTGAATCCATTGCACGAGACATAGCCGGTTCAGCTCTGATTGGACTAATCAAGGAGCCCAGCTAGGAGCATCCCTAAGACAGAGATAAGAGCGGGCCGGTGGGATGCCTCGTCCCACGGTGAGCCCGCTAAAGATCAGAGAGTGACGACTCGCTGCAGTACCAATCGACTGCAGGGGAGATTAGTGAGCATCTTCAGGGGAAGGTTTTTAAAGGAGCCTGCAGCCTCCACCATTATAGACCACTATCATGTTGCCGTCATCATGATTTTTTCCCATTTAAATCAATGTAACCAAAGCGAGGCTGGAAGGAAAAATAGTCTGGTTCCTTTTTGCACAAAATGCATTATCATTCAGTACTGTTATTGGATGCAGGGAACATGACTAAAATGGTGGCAGCATGATAAAGGTCTGTACAGTTATGGCTTCAGTTGGACCCTCTCCCTTTCAATCAGTCGCAACAAGTTTCTAAAACATGATTCGAGAACCATGTTTCCCCAAGATACCATCTAGCGCACAAATTAGACCTGTGCTTCTCATCATACCGCAGAACCAAAGATATTACACAAAAAGCTCAATCGCTTAAGCAACAAGGACCCGTGTACATATACTGTGAATATACGAATGTTCCATGCTTATAGAAGGTAATTCTGCATGTCCCCGGTAAATTACCTAGGTAAAAGTGCCCCCGGACCGTTTTTCTACCCCCCCCCCCCACCCGGAAGGTCATTTTGTAGTTTGTACCCCTACTTTTGCCATCCAGAATAACCTGATGGAGGGCGACAACATTTCCTATAGGTAAATCTGTCCCATCTGTCCGGGGGGAAAGATGGGGGGGGGGGGGCAGTAATACCTTTGACACCTGCGCCATTGTTTTCTTTGTATGCAGTATGTACATACACGTTTCTACCCTGAACAGCGCCACCTTGTGTCTATTGGTGTCCACCACCTCCCTTCGAATATTCAAATGGTTTGTTTCTATTGTTTTTTAGTTCTTTATATAAAAAACAATCTCATCATGACATTATTGACCTCAGTCCAGACAATATATATCAGCTTGCTTGTTTCCACTTCAAGAATGACAAAATTATTGCTGACGAAAGTAGGCAGGCTTTCATTTTGTGGGCAATCAATCCTGTTGGCCATTCATGACAGCACCTTTAAGGTGTTTCTCGAGCCCAGGCTCCTGGGAAGCTTAGAGACTCTCAGCGTGGTGGGAAAAGAGCAGCATCATCTCGCTAATCAAGAAGAGGACAGATCCGAAGAAATGTCTTCACCATCAACAACAAGCGAGGTGAGAGCAGCACGGTGCGGGGGCCAATCTCAGCAAGTCTTGAAAGAAACCTCAGATTTCCCATAATTGATTGGGATTGGGGGTAGGGACGCGGGGGCTCGGCCGCCGTGGATCGCTCCGCGAGCTCCGTCGGGTAATTGGCACTGTTGATGCCGTGCCAGAGCGCACGCTGATCAACCGCATTTTGTAAAGTCCTGTCCCGGTCCTGTATATTTCATAGTACTCTCGCAAAAGATTGGGAGTGTAATACGGCAGAGCTTAATTTGGGAACTTTATAAAACATCTCCGGGAGGGGGAACAGAAAAACGTCACGACATACCAATTAACGGGGTGAATTATGCACCCCAAGAGGGAATGGAATGGTAGAACGGATGGCGCAAAGGGAGGTAGTGGATGAGACATTCTTTGCGGAGCAGACGCGCCGATGTGCTGACCATTTAAAGAAATGATGGAAGTTGTCTTATCAAATACAGTCGAACTACAAATCCCGCTAATTGTCCTTATCTACAACATTGTTAAGACCGTAGATAGCATTTGTATGTGATAAGAACCGAGCGAAAGCATCTTGCTGCGCTTGTGATGTAAGAGTCACTTCAACCGGATCCTGACATTAGAAAAGAAGAGATTATTGTGCACAGTAATTAGGAAGACGCGAAGAGCTCACGGAAGTACACACAGAGGTCATGGCTAGCTGCGCAACGCGATGGGATACGCAGACCATGCTCGCTGCATGTCTGTGTCCGATATGATGCCACGGAATATGTAAAAACCATCTAATAAAAAAAACGGTTAACCAGAGTTTAGCGCGTGACATCTTGTTATGTTATTAGGGGGAATTGGATATGTGTTAGTTTGAGTGACAGCTCAGTGGAATTTAATGCAATGTTAGCCAAGGATGGCAATATTGAATTATTGATAGATTGAAATCGTGGCCACGCAAAGATGTTTACCCATCCCCCACCCTTAAACACAGATCCTGAAATCACATATGAAGACGTTCAAATGCAGGGCATGGGTTTGAACGGCAAACTATTTACTGGTACACGGTTTTTAAAGTCAATTCCAAATTCAGAACGATTATGCACTTTTTATATACCAACAAAATCCTTTTAAAAATCAGCTATAAACGAACGAGGGGAGTTTTGAATGCACCGAAACTAATACATTGAAGTTAAATATATTTGTGTAGAAAAAGGAAGTTGGGCTTTTCTCAATTACGAAAAGTTGGCTCAGTATGTGTTGTTCCACCTGAACTCCTCATGCAACGTCTTGGCTGGTTAAAGGGAATGTACATCATTGGCTTTCGCTGTAATTTTCAGAAATGAACTAGTTGAGGGGTTAGTATAATAGATCAAATATTGTTACACTGACATGTTTGAAGTTTTGTGTCCGAAAATGCTGGAAAAACCAAGAAAAACAAAAATGTTCAAGTAGTCTGGTTCCCTGACTCCACTAAAAATGAAATGGATCAATTTATAGATGTTGGAAAATTGTAAGACAAGGGAACCAGTCTAGCTGACCTGCACCCGTTCATGAACTTGTAACCAATAGCAAACACAATTTGGACTGAAACAAATGGTAAAAATGGAGCAGTTGTTGAAAAATAGTTAGGTTTTTCCAACGGTGGTCGGCCGACCACCGTTGGAAATGTATACAAAAATTCCATTTTCTTGAAAATGACTTCACATCAGGTGCCATAATTTTACAGAATGCTTTAGACTGTCATTTACCAACATCCTAGTAAGGTATTTCGTAAAAACTTGGTAGTCTTATTTTTCGATGTTTGCAAATGTTGTATTTCCCTTTAAGTGGTAGAATGTACTTTCCGTGCGTGTTTATGACCACAAAATTAATGGAACACAGATTCAACCACTTAACACGTTTGTTTTTACTCTAAAACGAATTAGGTCCTTCATTGGCTAATCCCTTGCGAACCTGATTGTGACGGTGCCAATTTAGAGTCAGCCCAGAGTGCGAGCCCGCCCATTCAAAGCAGCCCCTTCCCACCAAGGGAGCTGAAGCCTCTGAGAATGTGAATTGAAAAGCATTTTCTTTGGTGCTTTGTCAAATTTTATCAGCCAAATTCCGCGTGAGGGGGGGGGGGGGGGGACAAAGAGGGTCTCCTCTGGATGAGGGGAGGGGAGGTGAGGGTGCCCCCGTTTCCCCCAACCCCGCCCGATCCCCTAAAACTGGGTGAAGGTCTCGTGGATTTCAGCTCCCTTCGTACTATGGGCAAGAGCTGTATTCTGACATCACAAAATGACTTTTCGGACAACGCAGAATTATGCACAGTCTTCTTAAATTAGTTGCAAAAAGCGGTCTAAGGCCAAGTGCGCGGAGCTGCAATGATATCCTCGACACACACACAAAAAATCCTCATAAGTTTTCGCTTATAGCATACAACACCATGACTGTGATACACATTGCATTGATAAATTAACTCTTTTTTTCAGCAATGACGAACCAAAAACAGTTCTGTTGGCTTTAATTTGCTACATGACTTTTCCAATTACACTCAAAAACAAATTTACACAAAAGTTAAACAAAACGGTATATGAACAAGCTGATAATTTACGCAAAGATTACATTGTGATGAACGGAACACTGATGGTCGATTAATAATTGTGTCTGATCGTTAATTGGAAAGCCGTCTATCTGTTTTGGTCATTGGTCGGTCACGCAGCAAATGGTCCTTGTCAATGTTTATTCACGACTCATTGGAGTCTTGAGTCAGTGCGCGTGGCCGCGGTTTTGATCCTTGGTTCTTGGTTGTTTTCTGGAGGGAAGCCCCTCTCTCGAATCTAGCCCAGCCCTATAGCGTCCACGAGACCCTGCACCTTGTAATCAAGGCTGATGGGTATGCGCACGCCGAAGCGCCCTATCGCACCGCGTGACGCTCCATGTGTCACCGCTGGCCACGCTATATAAATCCAAAACACATGCTGGGGGCTAGAGTTTACGATAGCGAGCATGATCCCAAGCCCGCGAGCTTTTTTGCCGTACACACACCACAAGACGTGTTTGTGTTGACAGTTGACTCCGTGTTTCCGATACTTACACATTGTTTCACACGTGTGTGAGGAGCCAGGGCCCGTCAGGTTACGCGTGCGCGAACCGCACCGATCACAAGTCCTTGGGTTCACGTCTGACCGTTGCTCTCTTCAGACAAGTCAGTCCAGTCTGGACTTGATCAACTTGAACTGTTCCATCGCTGATAGATCGGCGAGTGAAATTGCGCGGAGGATCCTCTCTGGTTCATCATCCGCATCTTCAAAACATTTATGCTGAACTACACGTGATGTGAGTTTTATTTTCTCTCAGCGGACACTTGAGTGTTTGAAAAACCACCGGAAGTAGGCTGTGTGTTTTATTGACTATAAAAAGTAGGGTTTTTATGACTTTCGATCGACATGGACCAGTCTCGCAGCAGCTGCCGATACACCGAGATGCAACCGATGTCCTACTATGACAACTACCCGGCGACGAACGGCGACATGGCCAACTACAACACGCTGTCCCACTCCATGTACGTGAACAACAGCTACCACGAAGGCATCCATAATGGTGCCGCGTCTCCTCTGAGGGGAGGAGGGGGACACTGCTACCCTACCCCAGACGGGTCCAACTCCTCGGACAGTTGCCGTGAGGAGGACATTGAGCACGTGCTGGCCCCCGGGTACCCCGGGGGAGGGGAGAGGCGGTGTCTCCTGTGGGCTTGCAAGGCGTGCAAGAGGAAGAACGTGGCGGTGGACAAGCGGAAGGCGGCCACGATGAGGGAGAGGCGGCGGCTGCGTAAGGTGAACGAAGCCTTCGAGGCCCTGAAGCGCCACACCTCGGCCAACCCCAACCAGAGGTTGCCCAAAGTGGAGATCCTCCGGAATGCCATCGAGTATATCGAGAAACTGGAGAGGTTGCTGCAGGTGGAGAAAGGCAACGGGGACGGCAGCGAGATGGAGACAGCTGAAACCAGCTCCAATGCTTCAGATGTCATGGTAAGTCTCCGTGTTACTTTGACTGGTTGCTCACCATAATGCTGACCAATAAATCTCTGTATAATATCGTATGTACATTTGTCATTCAATATTAATTAAGCGCTGCTTAGAAGAGTAAGACATCAAGTTCGTTTAGATAATGCGTGTCCAAAACAACTAACCACACGCGAAGTTCATACGACGTTTTAGTGCATGATGTAGGCTATAATCGAGTCGCCATCAACCATGATGACAGTTTTTCAGGCGGGCCATTGAACATATGGAGACGATTTCTCCACATAGTGACGTTCCTGTGTAAGCCTATCCAAGCAGGTATTTATTTTTAGCATAACTGAACGAAAGATCCTTGAAACATCTTCAAATACCATGCAATCTCTAGTGAGAGTTCCGCGGATCATTTCAAAATGGCACTCATCACGCACGCCACAAACGCGGAGAGCGAAGCGAGTCGAGGCGAGTGATGATACCGAGAAATCTGAACGATGGACGGCGCGTGATGAGCAAAAGATTCCCTTTGCGAAGAGCGTGCCCGGTGAAAATCCAACTACATGTATTACTGTATAATTTAAAGATTACACCCCTTCCATAAAAACGTGTCAGAAAAAAAAGAACAACCAAAATTATATAAATTTTAATGAATTTCCCTTTTTACCTACTAATTCTCCATAGATTTTGAGAATTGATTCGTTGTTAATGTTGGGTCACCTAATTAACAAATATATCAAGTTTATAGTGAGATTTAAACAAAAGACTGTTTTGGCTGTAATATTTGCACTGATACACCATAAAATGACTACAAAATAAAGATAAACTGATAAACTTGCGGTTAACCGATCAATCACTAAGGTAATCATTTTACCGTGATTGAAGTATGGATAAACCACAAGTCAAGTGTAGCCATGTGCACTGAGTTCACTTGTTGAAGTGGATCTGTTTACGTCGGTAAGACATGTCAGACAAAATACGGTTCTCAGGCGAGTGTAGGACGGTTAAAAAAAGGCTTATCTGTTTTGTCAAAATGAAAATGAATCTCCACATTTTATAATATCACTTATATTTCACCCAGTATAGGGCCTAATTCGGATTGCTAAAACATGTTGGCCAGTGCTGTTCCACCCAACCACAAATCATCAGTTTATTCGATTAAAATTCTGCTTTTGGGGAAAAATTTGCCAAAGTGTAAGCTAATCAATTGACGTTTTGACCAACATTTGAGCAACAATAATTATATGTGAACTTAAAATTGTGTCAGCAAAACATTTGTCTATGTACCCAAAAATGTACATGTGTTCCTTCCTCCATGGATGTACTAGGTGGTGAGTAAGTAATTTCATTGGGCAAAGCTATCACCTGTAATAGTGACCTATATAAATCCTCCTGGACATGGGTCCAAATGATATTGCTAATGTGTTGAAATGAAACTGCACGAATCCATGGACCACCGGAAGATCTCGCCTTTCTCATTTACCTGCGGTTTATGAATAATCAATGGACGGAGGAACTTAAGTCCCATCCGATATAGACAGCGTGGTGTGACATCACTCATGCGAGAAGGCGTTGGTTAGCGCGAGGCTAATCTTCCCTGATCCAAGTTCAGCCAGAATCCCAAATGAGTCAAAAAGTTTGATTGTTTAGGATGTCGAAATACCTATAACAAATCCGGACTTCCAAAAAGGCTCGGATAAAGGGTCACCAAAGGATGTGTAATTAATTAAAAGGGATCCCTAATGAGTGAATAACGCGGTTAGAGTCCTTCACTTTTCACTCGCAAATGTTTGAGAATAATAGCCATAGGCCTATGACACATTATTTACTTACGAAGAACGTATATTAGTGAGGTTTGCGGTAACGCCATGTGGAAGAATCTCTTTGAGAAGATGGTGTGGGTCTAAAAGAACTGGTTGGTTGTGAAACTCGACGTTCCCATCAGTATGCTCTGGTCGTCTTCAGGAGAGAGAGAAACAAAGTTTCCAATCTTTTTTAAAAGAACGTATAGTTTTGATATCTTTCCGGTGAAGACTGCTTCCTTTTCAGGAAGTTGTAACCAACTGGTTCTTCTAACCACACAATTCACTAAAAGATGTATCATTCACATGGTGTTACTGCAAACATCCCATGCATTCATAGTTGTAATGTTTCATTAAGGGTGAAAAGTTACCTTTTTTTATAAAAGGAGTATTATTTCAGCACTGAAAGAACTTGGCTGTAGTGAATGCTAACTTTAAAAAAAAATATGGCAATGTCGTTATTGACTTGATATCAGCTCATAACGCGTCATAAATCATTCAATTACACCAAGGCTTTCAATTTGGAATTTGATTAAATCCAAAAACCAATTGTTCTGAATGTCCCCAAAACCATATAACAAACATAAACGGAATGATATACTAGAAATGATTTCCCCCAAACTTTCTCCGTGATTTGGGACTTCATGATGCTATTTAGCCGTCTGAGTGACGTTTATGCGCCAATAAAAGTTCAAAGGTTAAACAAATTAAGCCGCGGGTCCCCTGCACCTTCACACTGCCCGGAGGCGCGGGTGGCCGCCCACCAGTGAAACCTGACGGGGAGTAACGCGACAGATACCCGGTTTGTCACGAATTTCAGTGAAATCCAACACCCTGAAACACTTCACCTTGGACATTGTGTGGTTCAAACCAACGTTTGACCACACTAAGCCGAGAACATGATTTGTGGTATGAGATTTATCTGACACATCGTTTCTTCTTGTTATAAAGGAAGGTAGCACGAACATGTTCATCACCCCCACTGTTTCACTGGCTTTACTAAGAATGGACGGTCGACATTTTGTAAACTTTTGATCACTTTTGATTTTTTTTCCTTAAAAGCTCCATGGTCGACGGGGTTTATCAGGTGAACAAGTTTAAAGGGTCCATTAGATGAAATTTTCTTAGGAACACATTTTGTGCAACTTTCTACTCCTCTTAAATGTATGAAAATGATTTGACATTATTGAAAAGTGCACTTTTTGAAACATTTAAAATTGTCCATTGCTTTTCCGAACAACTGAGGGCGCTGTTGCTGTGACGTCATTTCAGGAAGGCACTGTTTAGTTTAGGGGTTTTTCTGTTCAAATTGTGAACCCAAACATTTGTTCATTAAAAACAATTTGTGAGAAAACTTCGCTCATTGGCTTACTGCCATGTACTGACACAACAACGAATCACCAAAGAATAGCAAATTCGCCACTGCGAAATCATTCATACTTTTTGGCAACAAATTCTGGTTCCTGCCTGAAATGACATCACACATTTCCTCATGAATATGGAAATTCGAATTAGCATAAAAGCCCGAAAGGCACTAAAAATACACTTGAAAAAAAGCAAAACGAAAATTGAAGATAAGGTAAAATTAATGTGACACAAAGGTGTATTTTCAAGGATTGTATTAAACAAAATTACATCCCATTGGCCCTCAAGCAGGAATAGTTCTATTCTCACCAGAACCATTCTAATTCTGTGATTGGTTTTACCAAAAGCCCTGGTGGGCCATTGCTCGTAACGTCGGTGGCAAGGGTAAAGCCCTCTTTCAAAATAGTACATTGTATGAGGTGCCTGTGTTAGATTCCAATAATGGTGACCAGAAATGCATGTTTTTTTTATACTAAATCAGAGGCATACAAATAAGTTTTTTAAAAAGAGTTTAAAGTTTCAGTAAAAAGGAACCAGTTTTCGGTCTTTTTTAAACTTTGGATAGGAAGTGAAAGCGTTAAAATGATGATATTGATAATTGTGATAAATATGTATAGCGGGATACACTCCACGTAAATCTTAATTCAGATGTGCATTACATTATACCTAAGAACCAATTATGTAACCCCCCCCCCCCCCCACTCGAAGACTCTTGGACATTAAAGTGGCGCCTTGCCACTTCTGTGTGGCTTTATCAGACCTCAGATAATAAAAAATCATCAAATTTTGAGAGTTTTCGGTGTCAAAATTGTCCAGCAATGAAATGACCCGCAGAACTTGAATCAGTTGTGACGGCAAGGAGCTGCCGTCTGCGCTCCCTTTTTCCTAGCCCGAGGTGGGTGTTAATGGACCCGTCTTTGGGGACTCCCGATGGAAATAGAACACCCAAAATATACGACCAGCCTCGGTGTGCAGAATAATTGAGTTCACCCCCTCTGCAAGGCAGCCAGGGTGGGAAACATCAAGTCTCGTTTAAAATTAAACAAAATCCCAAAGTGCCCAAAGGGCTAAGTTGTAAAGTGAAAAAATAAAATTGATATCATTATATTACGCAGGGCGACATGACTTATTCTGCTACCTGTATTTGGAATACAAATCAATCTGTTTGAATTCATTAAACCCAGCGAAAACTCCATTACTCGTGAGATCAACCAAATCATTTTACTTTCATCACAACACCCAAAGCCGTTTCAGAACTTCGAAGACAAATCGAAGACAATTGAAAAACTGTGAAAACATTCCCGTTGATTTAAGTGTTCATATTAGGATTTGGAAAGAAATAGCGCACTCCGTTTTTATAAATATGATTCATCGTAAATACCGAATTTCAGACGTACAAAAATTGATGCACATACGGTGTTGCATCATTCTTCATTTTTTAGCCTATAGTTTCTCGCGAATTGGTTTGAAAGAAATTAGTATAATCGTCAACCATTATTATTCGCTTAATGAATGAATTGAAAGGTATTTAGAGTGGTCGTGTTTCCTGTCTTCAAAATTCAACACTGATGAGTATTGAGCGTGCTCCGTAAGAAAATACGTAATTTACAATTGGTGCTGCGTCTATACGCAATCCGCGTATTGCCGTGGCGTGGAATTCGAATGTGTTTTTCCCATTGGTGGCGAGCGATTGACCGGTGTAACGAACAATAAGTGTGATGCTAACTGACAGCTTCGCATGCCTGCCATTTTCACGTCCAATCGGTTATTATGATTAAAACATCCCCTTTCGGTATCTCGTTCTTTTCTCTGAGTAAATTGATGTCAGGAATTTTATAAACGACTGCATTAGGCCAAAAAAAAAGTCTCCGGTTTCTGGTATGCGCG